AATAATAAAATAAAATCTCTTACGGGCATTTCCAAATGCGGTCCAAAATCCCAAGTGCTTTTGAGCACCATAATAATCTGCCAAGAAAACTTGGGGAAATTGGTGAAAATCCTTAGCTGTATCCTAGGTTCTGCAAACTTCAGAGCCTCTTCTGCTTGCTTTACTGTTTAGTTTATTGCAGAAAGACTGCACTTCAGAAAAACAGAAGGGGATTAGGACAAGATCAGGATTTTAGTTAAATTTTAAAATTAACACCCGTAGAGATTTTCAAAGATGTTTGTACTGAAAGTCAAGTCAATTTCAGACAGGGTGGATGATAGGTAACGTGGGCAGTCAGATTCGGATCTTCACTCATTTGTTACGTGATTAATGCTTAATGAAACATCCCTATCATTTTATTTTATTTTTTGGCACTGCTAATTACCTACAGTGTTTTAAGGCTTTAATTGATTTTGTGAGATAGTTTTCGTTTTTGGTAAAAAGGGCATTGAAGTATTCACCACAAAGTAAATTAAAGAATAATGGCATTTTTCACTACTTGTGAGATTTAGTGAAAAAAAATTATAAATTAAAAATAAGTATTAAAAAAATTTTTTTATGAAATTTGGTACGTTTTGATATTAAATTAATTAAAATTTAATAAGATTATTAAATATTAACAATTTAATAAAAAAAATATAATGGCATTCAGTGGTTGATATGAAAAACATGGTTGATCTTAATGGGAGATTAGTACCAAAAAGTATAACATCACTTTTCTGTATTTAGAGTCGAAAAAGATTCATCACAGTTTGGAAAAAATTTTCTCGTAAACTGAAATGAATAACAAAAATATATTTTACAATTAAATTATATTGAAATTAGAAAAATATTTGAATTCATCAAATTAATGGAACTATTTTGTTATGTACAGGAATTTGGGTTTCTTCCAATTTAATAATTAATAATTTGCATTTTAAATGGCAAAATATTAGATTTTAAGTGTATAAATTCTAGAGTTTTTTAAAGGTACATGTTAGTAATATATTTATGGTTTTTTAACTTGTACGCTTATAGTATAAATTAAGAGATAAAATTAATATTTTTTTATAATTAATTTATATAAAAATAATAAATATTGATTTTAAATTAATCAATTAATTAATTAAAATT